GCTGATGGCAAAAAGCTGAATAATGCACCGGATTTAAGTAATTAGAAATGTAACTATAGAATGGAGCTCATTGCACACATGTACAATGTACCATTTAAACATGATCATATTATGTAGCTTTTTATGTCTGGTAAGCAATAGGATTTGCTCGAAGGTAGTTTGTCGAACTCGATCGGCTTGTAGCGTGATAGTTTTCGGAAGCCGTCTTCTCTCGGACAGGGCTAGAAAACGTAAGAGGTTTCCTTGTCCAGCTACTCATCTCATCTTTGACTAGTTTGCTGAACTTCTCCGTTGTAAGCGAAGATTTGTGACGGTGAGGGCAGTTTTATTCAATTATGACACAGTCGTTGTAGTCACTTTTTTTGGGCCCCCACAGTTATTTGTTGTGGGTTTCTGTTCTTCGGCAAGCGTCGTTGATGAAAAAAAATTTTTTTCATTACTGTAGATAAGTTAAAGGTTCGCTGGTCGTATTAAAAGGTATATGTAACCTGAAATAATCTTACATTAAAAATAAATCCTAATTTCTTTTGATGAAAGGGTGTCTGAATTATATCTGAAAGTGGGAACTTGATGATAACACCATCTTCATTTGTAAAACTACAGAGTTGTGAATATAAGTCCTGCTTGATCTTAGAAAGTTATGTAGCAAGAAGATTTGAAGATGAGGTGAAATAACCGCGATCACCAAGATGTGACAATGTCTGGGATGGATGGACAACCCGATTTAAGGCCATAAGGTTTTTAGGTGACACTTAATGGTCATCATCTGAAATTGCTTAAGTCAAACTAACCATGCAGCTTTACCTGGGTGAATATTATCACGCTTCATCCACGTACTATTGTCGAACTAGTTGTTTCGCAGACAATTAGCCAATCGATAACTCCTGAAAAATCAACACCTTAATAGGAACTAGCGTAAGTTAAGACACTGGTATTATTATAGCTTTTTCTTTAATGGAACATTATTATACTTAAACCATAACCATTTAGAGATGGGGCATCAGTTTAGGTGCTTGAAGGCCAAGTCAACTATTATTTATTCAGTTAGAATTTGTTTAGGCTTATAAGCCTGCATATTTGTTACACATTGCTAAGTTTCTGTAGCTTATTCATGCTGAATCGACGACGTGAGAATAGCGAATATAGTAAGAAAAACTTTAAGTAACTTATCGAATTTTATCCTCACAAGGGTTTTCAAACGTCCGCAACTGAAATTGCTTCCGAAAATGTTCACAATGAACACTGCCTCGGCAAAGTTTCCTTTCTTGCGCTTTGGTATCGGTCAACCGTTCATCTTTTCAATTTACTTAGAAGACCTTAACTCTTATCCAGAGTTCGGTCCATAGCTTCCAGCCCTGGAAATCAGCGGCAACGTTAATAACAGCAGTCACCTAGGAACAGGCAATTTTGGAGGGAATAGGAATAGGATGACGGCTGTTAGTTTCAGAACTAAGAAGAAGGCTAGTCTCACAGTGTTGTCTATCTGAGCCTGTCTAGAACTCTGTGTTTTGTATCCATAAGCGTGTCACTCTCGACCGACCGACCGACCGACTGAACTATTGACGTGACTTTCCCGATGTCCTCCACCGTCGCAACCACGGCCATCCACACACATCCTATCCTTTCCCTGGTTGACGGCTTTTAAAGGGAGAAAGGAGTCAATGCAGTGGCCGATGTAAACAGCTGGGTTAGAAAAGGAAGTCGGTCAGGGTGTGGGACGTGTTATAGCGAATTTGCCTTTTGTTTGACACCATGCTGCTACCTAAAGTGCACGAGTGAAAACTCGCAAAGATAGCGAAAAGAAAACGAAAAAATAGCTGGCTGAGCAATAGAAAGGAAAGCTGGGAAGAAACCTCGAAAAAATACCGTCTTTCACAAGAAGGAAAAGGCTAGGGACTTGATTAAAGATGATTTTTCAGAGCACAACTTTGTTACTGGCTCTACGACGATTACTCAGAGATTAGTGGTTATGCTTTGATTAATGGCTGCTTATACATTGTGTCAATGAAACTGTACGTTCAGAGAGTTCCCATTCGATATTGTTTACTATTCTCTAAAAGCGGTCCACTAAGGGTCTATGGTTTATAATGGCCCAGCAAATTACTCCAAAGTGAATGAGACGATCTAGGTTGAAAAGTTTTTAAAAAAAATTAGGACTTTCGTATCAACTGCTATAGCATAGATGCGACACTATCAGTTTTTCTTCTTTTTTTTTTTAAATCTTAATCATTCTTTTCTTTGCAATTTTATCTGGGCCATTGTGGAATTAATTACCGCCTTTTCGTAATGCTACCTAAAGCTGTTCTGAAGTTTTTACTTTCATAAGGTCATAGAGTGAAAATTGACGTTCCTAGATCCTAAACGGTGGAGGAAGGGGTTTACTTAGCAATTACTTAGAGTTTTTTTTTTCATTATTCGAACAACGCTACTGAGATATTCTAGTATATGAGCACCTCCCTTAAGAAACACAGTAATTGAAGGTCCTAACGTGGAACTTTTGAGCTGTATATCAAGTTTCTGAGCAAGGATTCGTTAATTCATTTCATTCTTTTTTAAGTTTAAGTTAGCTGTCGCATTACGGGTATCTACTAATTGGGCGGACTAAGTTTAGGAGATGTATAATTCAATGATCTAACAAAAAACGATCCTTTGGCACTAGTGAAATGGGAGATACGTATTTTGGTATCCGTTTTTAGTCTAGTCTATCGAACATATACATATATATGCGCAGGCACGTTAGTTAAAGACAACATATAATCAAGCACTCCGTATTTTGCCATATTTTAGACGACCAGCTCAATATGCGACTCAGTGACTGAAGAGAGGTTCGTGTTTCTTTGGAAAAAACATCAATATCTGTCCCGTAATGCTGTTCGAAGCAACAAGTCGCTCTGTAACAAACACGTTCAGGTAAAAACACTGAGAAAAGAATGTCATTTGCAAAATGTAGGTTGTCTATAGAAAGGCAGAAGCCATATAATGTATTGTCATTGTATACCTCAGCTTTCTGCAGCTGAAGTATTGTCAAAGCAGCGTATACGACGTAACTGCAAAAAAGCTAGGAACGGGTTTTTCTGTAACACGCAATAAAAGGACCAACCCTACGCCTTGATTTTGTAAGTTAATGCTTTTTTAATACAAAAGGCCTTTAAAGCCAAAGAGATCTAAACCTTGAGAAAAAAAATGGCGCATCTTTAAAGACATACATATACGAGCAAACTAGAGCTTAATTTATTAATTTAAATAAAAAAAAAACGTTAGCATAAAATAAAGCTATTCAATTGTAAATAGCAGATTGATACGACTGCTTCCATGCGTTTCGTAGGTTCGTACTACAAGAAAAATCTGGTAGCATTCTCATTTAATTTTCAGATGGTAGCCAAATATTTGCCTTTCGAACAGGACGAGGAAAGCCGTTAACACTACATCACCTTCCCGTCCTTTTAAGGTATCTAACAGGATACCTTTGCCACGTTTCGTGAACCATGTTATTATCTTGGTTTCCACTTGCTTACCTTGCTCTCTAAAGCTACTGGACAGACAACAGCTACCTACATATCTAATATTGAGTGCCGACACTGCGATGCAGTGAAATGGGAATGATTATTCCTAAATAAGATGACTCACTCGTGTTAATATGAGTAAATTCTATCAAACTAATGTTAAGAACATCGTAGACTGCTTTATACTTTTCTGGACGCAAAAATGGCACATTAAGATAAATTTTATTTCCACAATTATAGAGAAAGTTGAAAAACCAAAAATTATTTAGAAGAACAACTATTCAGAATATCCAGAAATATATCTAGAACGTATCTCGAATTGTCCCATACCTCATACAGAAAGTACATCTTCAAATGTACGGAGAAACAATTCTTTTGTTACAGAAGATACTCACCGCACTGCTCATTACTAAGGGACCTCTGTTGATTGAGCCACTATTAAGTAAATGATGAGTGAGGTAATTGAAAAACCATAGTATCCGCTTGTCTCAGACCTGCGGAGAAATAAACATTTTTAATCTTTTTTAATGAAAGTTGTTAATTCTTTTCGTTTAATAATGTTGTCAAGTTATATTCGAAACGAATAGCTCCTCGCCAATAAATTATCAAATTCAAGTTGAATCTCTGTACAACTATTTGTTGTTTTCTTTAGCTAGTATTTTATCTAAAAGCCAATGGTCAGAGTACACTCGATAGATCTCTAACCTAACATTACGTGCATTTACATTGAGGTCCTCCAGGAATAATTTCATTAGAGTCCTTTGACGACAAGGATTCGTGACTGTTTGTTATACATCCATATGCATCTGTATAATATAATACATCGCTGTCAAACGACTCGATACATTCCTTATCTTCTCTTCTGTCCATGATTCTTATTCAGGGCCATAGTGAATAGCATTCCCTGTTGCACAGTCGTCGCAGTAGTACGGTCCTCAACAGCTCTACGCCACGGGCCAGTGCTATCCCAATATACCTAGTGTAGTAATAATAGACCTTGTGCTAGATGGCAATGAGAACGATCCATGCGAATGGAACAGTGACGACAACATCTGACACTGTGTAGCTTTTGTGCACTAGAACCGTTAAAGCACCCCGACGAGCTACCCTTGACAACAGCTACCAGTTCCCTTTCCCCAACCAAAGTAACGCATTCAGTAGACGGTGCGCACCTAATCCGTTTCCACACCTGGTTCTCCTTTATAGTATAGCTCTGCACAAGACTTCACCCCCTTCCGTCCCTCGTTACAAGATACACCTGTGCGTGACAAATCGATAAGGTTTGCCCGCCGAGCCGTAAGGTGGCGCCAGGAGGACTTCATGTGAGCTCAAGTCTAACGGTTCTTGCGTACCCCAGGCCTTTTCTGGGCTCGCCGAAAGCAAACCGAAACCAGCCAACATCCGGGCGCAAACGAGGAACACACACCACCGTCGGCCCAAGTGAGAACGACCAACAGAAAGACAGTCATTCATTGAACATAGAAGGACACAGGCACAGTCACAGCAGACCGAATGAGCTAAGGTCCGGGGGCGGCTCTGCCTTTGCGCCTCCTCCACTTTCTCTCTCACTCTCTGCAAACTGGCTGCTGGCAGCTGCCCGCCTTCCTGTTTGTTCCTACAACGACTGCTCCATAACACCATCAGTTTGCCTCAGTGAGGGAATGAGCGCCACCCATAAACGACGTGAGCACAGACCCATTGATGTGCTTTCGTTCGTTATGCGGAGAAACGCGCTCATGACACCTCACGATTCGTACAATTCGACTCAGCTATCGCTAGCGTGTCAGCCGCACACTCTTTGATAGTGTGCAGCTGAGCCGTTTCGCCCGTTGTTGTTGTGACAGTGGTCATGGTGTACAGGTGACGGCGAACGAAAGGAAAAACAAGGAAGCAAACAAACGTGAAAACGAAGCGAAGTAACCGTGCAGTGAAATGCGTACGACAGTACGACTACAATCGAAGCCTGAATGTGCCAGGAATTCGCAGCTCTCTTCAAATACACTGAAGGACAGCTCTTATCCTCGCGAGAGCCATCAGCGTCGAGCCAAGGTCAGTGTACATGGATGACCCATGGATTAGATGAGATGATGACAATAATAGGTGACACATCAGAGCGGTTCAGCATCGGGTTGGTACGTTTCCAGAAAGCGTTTCTACAAAACCAGCCCTATTGACAATAGAGACTGACATCGCCCATTCGAGAAGGTGACGAAATCAGTGAGTTGAGAAAACGTCTTGGAATTTCTTAAGATTGCAATCGGATTCCCCATATAATCTAATGGCAGCTTCGCTAACAGCTATATGGACTTACATGCTGCGCACTGCCGTGTAACGACAACATTTCAATAATGTAGAAATCACATTACCATGTCATGATCCCCAGCTCGCGTTAGCAAAGCTAAATCAATTCAAATAGATTTAATTTGTTAATCTAAATAAATAAAATAAAGCTATTTAACTGTAATTAGCAGACCGATACGACAGCTCCCATGCATTTCGTAGGTTTGTGCTACAAGAAAAATCTGGTTAAAAAAAATCGTTTTCGATGTCTCATACAAATACACGCATGTGGCAGACCATATCCTTGTTGCCTGCCTACTTTGTAACCCAGAAATAGCACACATTCAGCTCCTTCAATTAAACCCTTTCGATCGGTATTGCTTTCCAAAGGACACCAGCTCAGTCGTTCCTAGTTGACCGACTAGACATTCAGAAACGTACAAACGTATGTATATATTTAAGTTATTCCTTCTGCCTCAATTCGGTAAATTCAAGGTGTCCGTGGGGCAAAGGTATAGGTGAATAAGAAAGGGAAAAAGCGAAACTACCCTTACACACGTACACGTACTTTTCATCACTTCAATGGCTCCGGGAAACAGGCATACGGGTGGTCTGGCAGAAGGATACGATTTTAGACAGCTCTTCTTTGATAGAGCACGACTCAAATCACTCGACTCCTACGTCAGCTTCCATACTTCATTCCTTTCAATTGAATGTCACCCATGGGCTAGTTAGCTATCGGTACCTGACTGTGTTTACCTCAGAGCAAAGTAGGTGAATTCGGTAATTTCTTATATATATGTATTCGGTATAGAGAATAGCATGTTGAATGGGTGTGAATGGTTGATAAGGAATTTTATCTAAAACGGATAGTTATATTTTGATTTAACTTTTGAAAAATTTTAGTTTTTCTTTCAAAATATCATCTATTGTACCAAGCTAGACTAGCCCCTCTCTATTGTTAGTGTATATATCTTTTTACGCACATGACCATTAAAAATCTGACTATACATGCCAAAGGAAACATGCAGAGGGGAATTTTCCTTAAGAACAGGGTTCTTCAAAGATGGCTGATGTCATGGCCACTACTTTTTGCAAGGAACATTGGCAAGCAATCTACTAGTTTTGCTCATGACTTAGCTACTTGAAGCACAGTCGTCTCGTGGACGGTACTGAACAATAAGCGCTTGTGAGCTACAGCTTCGATTACGGTACAAACACTTTACTTCGAGACGATTCTTCCAATGGCAATAGAAAGTGCCCTATTGCCCATTAACTTAGCTTAGAGGGCGGAACAAAAGTATTTTGACAATCTGGAAAAGTCACTTCACAGGCTAAAAGAAAGTTACTTGACGGCTTGGAAGCCTACATTTTTACTTTTGATTTTACTACATTTTACCCTCCTGCCTATTTGATAGTTGTAAAATAAGGACTATTTGAAAAATTTTTCAAATTGTCAAGAGATTTTTGTCCCACCCCGTATACAGACGAGTAAACCAATGCAGGCGTCCAGTAAAACCTTTAAATAGTATTATAGTTAAGTGTTTGGTCGAGTGCAGTTAAATTGTTGAATTGTTGAACTGTGTAAGTGTTTCGCGACGGATCTATTCAATGACCACTAAAGAAGCATTCAGAATCCAAAGTATCAGTATATCAGAAGTAAATAAAATACCAAACTAAATAACTCAGAATTTCTAATAAAAACACTTGCCAGTTAGTTATATTGACGTACTGAGAGGAGAGCATATGCTTTCGTAGACTGATGCATCGTATTGAGCTTGCTATTGCGTATTATCTGTGCCGTTCTGCCTCAAGAAAAAGGGTTTACAAAAATTATAACTGCTGTTCGATAATTTGGAATTGAAAGCCCTACATACAATAAATTCATAGAAACGACACGTAAATAGGAAGCTCAAAAGTGCCGTGCTTTAATGCCATACTTATTTACGATTAACGCGTAAGTTACAATAGACTATAATATAATTTTACATTAATGTAGCAATATCCTACATTCTGTGCACGCCCTTTCGTTTCGAACCCGCAATTGATATGACAGCCGTCGTAAGCGGGCATGCTTCTTGCAACAGCTTCTGAGGCCCTGCATTAGGTACGCGAATAGATAGGATCTCTGTTCAGGCGGAAGTTACGCAGGCTATTGTCATCGTGATTCGGTGGTTTACTGTACCGCCTCACAGACACAAATAGGTTTTTGCTGAGAAAAGCTACCTACAAAAAGGCGGTAAGAGAGCGAGAAAACAGTTTAGTAGAGGTTGTACGAGCAAAGCTATCACTGTTAACACGTACTCCTTCCTAGGACTGTTCAAACATTGTATTCCTCTATTATTCTACAAGCTTGAACCATATTGGTCGTAAAAAATCTACCAACCCAAACTCTTTTTATACCGATAGCTCAGCCAATATAGTCCGCTCGTACCCTAGCTGGAAAGCCTGACATTTATCTTTTTTAAAATGCAGTCGTATTGAATATTTTTATTTTGTGAGATCATCAAAGACTACTATTATTAGCACTTATGCAGAATAGGTCGAATAAAACGAACGTCTGATGCAGAAAATGCACAACACTATCATTGGTATAAGTACAGAATTACCTTTACGAACATCTTACAATCGAAGACAGAGACCGAAAGACACCTATCCGTGTCCATATTAAGCCATCTTATCTTTCATTTTCCGTTGGGTTTTGCGCCTCGCAGTTCTGCTTTGCGCATAAGACACTGAATCTATAGCGTAGGATGGGGAAAACCCATCTCGTAAAGCACTGGTAAATCACTGGGTAAGTAATTGGGATACCGACAATGAGTCCACGCGGCTATTTCTGTGGGGGGCAATAGGTTAGGAATGGGTACACATAAGGAATGGAAGAAGAGCTATTTTCTTCCAGTTTCCCTTTAAATTTCCAGTGCTGAACAGCCTACATTGGACGGAAGAACGAACATTTTAACCATACCGTTGCTCGACTCTTAATACCTAGCGCCTGATGGGTTTTTAATTTTAAGTGAAATTTGTGGTAAGGTAACGATATGTTGTATTAGCTGAAAAAAAGCTAACACCACGTATCGTCTCAAGTAAAATGACGGACCTATTATTAGTTTCTATGGAAACTAATATGAATCTATACCTACCTGTATACTGGTTTTACCATCATTCTCATGTATTGTAAGCAGCCTTACGTAACTCTATCAATGATGAACGGCTCACAATCTTTACACATCAACCTTTCGGCTAATCAGAAGCAGGGGTAGCAATGATTTTATGGGCAGCTACGACCGAGTGAACCTAGGAACCACCACGACTTGTCAAAGTGATAGCTTATTTTGAATGTATTTATATATGCCTCAACTTCAACCGTGTCAGCAAAAAATTTTCGAGATTGTTACGGTCCTTCTCTATTGCCGCGTTCCGAACATTTGGCCGAAAGGCAAGCCTAGCGATTCAGTACGCCGAAAATTAAATCCTCCAGACTAGAAAGCACTATTAGTTTTGAAAGTTACATTTAACTTCTACGCGTATAACGATTCCTCAATAGGGTAACTAAATATATTCTTCCTGCAGAATTGACAATTCGACGACACCGGACATTATGCAGTTTCATAAAAATTCGAAGAACCAGAAACGATTTTTACGTCTATTATTTATGTTTCATGGAACATCAAAGCGTGCTAAGCAACATGCAGTCTAGTAATACCATTGGAATCTACAGTGGGTTCACAAAGCGGAGTGTGTAGCCTACCACTGCATCAGTTTAACTATTGTTTCTCCATAAAAGCTTTTTACCCTAACTAGTCAGACGGTAGAGGCCGTTTGTTTTCGAGCGAAGTTCACATGGCCTAAGGTTCAAATCAATAAAAAAAATGTCGAATCCGAAAAACACTTTTCCGAAGTTGAGCAACGGTAGCGGCAAAACCAGCCTCACTCAATCGGACTGGCGATTATTAAGATGGGGGCCGATATGAACAGAAAGGAGTTAGATCTGAGCTGTGTGATCAAAACCCGTTCATATTCATTTAGACTTTTATCAGCGAGTACGATACAGATAATCATCATACTGTCAGTTTGTAATTGATTTATATAACTGTATTTCACTGCAAGAATAGTTTGTGTCTACGCAGCAATCATAGCAGGCCAACTAGTGCCCCTAAGGGTACCTTAATAGGAAAATATTTAGCCATGTTCTAGCGTAGAGGGCGTAAGGTTTCGTTTCCGCTCATAACGCACACCCAAATAAATTAAATTCAATAGATTTCAATCAACAACCTAGGTAGGGGTTCGCTTCAATCCTAGAGCACAGATTGCTGCCGGCAACGAGCTATTACGTATAACAAAGCGTAGTAACTTCTCTCTAAGAAGTTAGTTACTGTTCTCATAAAGTACCAAATGTACCAATGTTCTTCAAAATCGAAATGTTATGAGGGATAAATGTTTTTATGTTTTTTCTTGGCTATTATAGACGTTATTACTCCCGTAAGGCATCCTAAAATATGAATATTGAGAGTTACTCGTTGAAGTATGTTAACCTAGTTGTTTTCATAAATGTGTGTAGTATTTATTAATGGTCAGAACGTATTGAAGATCGCACATATTGGTATTTACCATGTATTTCTATGCGTTGACAAAATTTATTCGGCAAATGTGAGACCAGAAGAAAAAAGATGTTGTCAAGAACAAAAAAAGTCTATTTCTTTTATGTATGTTCAGAAGTAATGACGCTGGTACACATTTGTGTGTAGTTAACGAAAAAAAAGTCGCTT